GGACATATTAAGATTTTGATATGATTCAGTGACAAGAAATCATTGGTGGTATAGTCCTGATGATCCCTTTTCTCCAATGACAAATTGATAAATTTGTATTCTTGTTTATATAATCTCTCCAAGTTTGTGTAATGTGGTCAGTTCCTCAGAGTCCCATTAATACTGAACAATAGGTAAGACCAAATTTCCATAGCTTGGAGTAAGAAATCTTTAAGAACTACTGAGAAGAACAGCCTCCTAGTCTGTTAGTAAAGGTTGGCTGCAAAATAATAATAAAACAGTTCCTTTTATTATGTCCTACTTGTTGCAGACATCTAATATATATGTTATTTAATTCTCTAAACAATCTTCTGATACAGGTATTATTTTATCCATTAGTTATCTTTGAGTTGCTAGTACAGAAGATATACATAAATTATAGAGATTTTATTCACTTTATTGAAAAATCTAGAGGAAAGTCGCTGTTGAGGCAGTGTTAGGTTCCCAAACTCTTCTCTTTCCTTCATTCTTCTCTGTTTTCCATGGTGATAGCTTCACTCGAAGGCTGCCAATCCTTATGGCACATACAACATTCTTGCACACTGAAGCTGTAGAGGATGCTTCTTAGTACTTCTCTCAAAAATCAAAGTTTCCTTTACCCCTGAAATATCTCCCTATATTACCTTACTGGCCCCAGTGGCACAGGGGAATGGACTTCACTGATTGACTTAAGCCAGCCTAGGACCACCCTTACTGTTGGGGTTGAAGTTAATACTTCCCAAAATGGGGAACGGGCAGTCAGTCTCCTAAAGGAAGGTCAGGTGACTGAAGGCCAACAGATGTGTCACAAACAACCAGTCCCTACTACAACTCCTTCCTGATTTTATATGACAAATAACTTCAATAACAAGTTGTACTATTGTTTATTGTATTATATGCTAGGCATACACTTAGTGCTTTAGATACATTTAGTATTCAAAATTATCTTGAGAAGTAAATGGAATTAATCCTTGTTTTAAAGTTTAGAAAAATGAAACAACTTACCTGAGGCCACATAGCGAATCAGACTTCCGTCAGTCTGATTTCAGTATTTATGCTTTTTTTCAGCATGTCATGTGTTCCCTAGTAAATCAAAGTTGGCTATAAAAAAACCTGAAAAGTATTGTCCTAAAAATTCATCACTAGTGAAGAATTCTAGAAAATCACTCATCTCTTCTTGCTTTAATATGCAGTCTAATTATGCAGAAGTAAACCTTGTTAAGATAGAGTTACAAAAGCGTACTTATTATCTTGTTTTGCCTATTTTGAACAAAAAAGATCCTTACTGCAGTGATCAGGTAGGGTACCCTGTGCTAAATGCATATACACACACATGCACATACATGTAAATACATGCACACTATGTGTGTGTGTGCGTGCATGCACTGCATATATGATTATTGTGTGTATCACAAATTCTAAGAGAGGTTCTTTAACTTGGCACTTAATGAAAATGGCCAGCGAATGAGTTCAAAGGAACAGGCGCTGTCCTCTACAGTAAGTAACCTCACAGTGAATACCATGGACTACATGATCTGAGGTCTGCCTCCAATCTCTTTCACTTAACAGTAACAATCAAGTATTGTTTCTAAGGGAACACTTCCAGCCCAGTCTGAATTATTTTCTGGGTATTCTAGCTTTAGTTCCATACTCTCTGCCCTGGGCAATTTACTTCTTGCTTCAGGGTCCTTAGTGTTTGCACTTGCTCAGGGCTCAGGCTTTCAGTACAGAATCATAATTTTTTTTTCAATATTTTTATTGGGGAGTTGAGGGAAGGGGAATAGACAAGTTGCTGTCATGTTGTTCTTCGGTCTAGTTGTGGGGGACGTTGCTTCACTGGCCCAAGTTGGCACCATCATTGCGCTCTTCCCAGGCAAGGCAGATCAGTCGCCGGCTTCTGGACGGCTGCTCATAGTGGCTGCTGGCCAGTCACGCTGGCTGCTGGCTACACATGGTAGCCCATGGCAACCCACTGCCACAGGGGCTGCAGCCTACGCCACCGCTACTGACGACTCACGGCAGCCTAGCTCCAGGTTGAGCTGTTGTTCAGCATCTTAGCTGTGGAGGGCAGTGTCACTGGCCCTCACATATGGGATCCGAACCGGGGCCCTCTGGGGTCCCAAGCCAGTTCTTAACCATCGCGCCACTCGGCCGGCCCCATAATTATTTAATTTTTGCTGTAGGCCTTGCTGCTTTCTCCAGTGTTCTCCAAGGAGCTGAGTAGGGCTGTGGAATGGTGCAGCTCTGCTCCTTTTCTCAGATCACTGTGCCTGAGGCTTGAATAAGTATAAACTGGAAATTAATAATTTTATGATTCTAAACTAGAAGTTTCTCTGAGGCAGAAATATTGTTGGGTTAACTAAAAGCAGTCAGGCACCCCTTCATCTGTACCTTTGTGTTACAGTATTTGGAAATAGCTATATCTACTTTGTTGTTTTACAGTCATCTACCAAGATGGCTTCTTTGCAAGTCATTTCTTGAAATGATGTAATTTCTAAGGCAGTAGTGTTACAGAAGTGTTTATCAAGATGAGCTCGGAGTCTTAAATATGCTATAAGTTTTATTGTTGGAATTTAAAGAATTTATGGCATCCATCAGGCACCATTGATGAGAAATGTAATGTCATCCTTTTCTAAACATTTTAACATTTAACAAGTACTTAGAAAGCATAGTTCTAAGCACTGGAGAAGGGCTAGTGAAGAAATGTTAAAATTAATGAAAAATGGTCCTCTATGGGTAGCATATAAGCTGCAAGACAAAGGGGATATATACACATTGTTTACACATTCATTCAAGAAATGTTTGAGGTATTATTACATTAGACATTGTATGGTAGGTGCTGAAGTTACAATATTGAACAACAGAGATATAGTTCTCTTCACAGGGTTTGCGATCTGGGGGGTGCGAGGAGGATCATATGAAGGAGTAGTTTTGAAAAGAGCAGGAGGCAGATGGACAAGTGCTGAATGTGAGCTAACTTGGGGTAGAAATAATATTAGAATTCCACAGAACACTAGGGTTATGTCATATACTGCCTTAATCAAGTTCCAGAAAAGATGTTTTCACTTGAAAGTTATTCCACAGCTTAAACAAAATGCTATGCAGTTTCAAGACCAGAAGGGTGCAATTTTTCTAAAATAGACCCATATATATCTAAGAAAAAGAATTAATATATGTGACTGTTGGTCCAAGTAATAACTTGAACTAAATATTGATTTCACGTCCATTTTAACAGACATTTTTGGTACCTATGCAAGTTGAGAAATTAGTGGTTAATTTTGCTGTTTACTGTTGCATTTATGTGTTTTGTTCAGAAAATTAAGTTTAGCTTGATACAGACTGTTTCAATAATCTCTCTAGTAATTTAATACATTTGATATTCTAAAAAAAAGGAAACTGACACTTAAAATTATTATTAAGAATATAGCTTATTGATTTTGTAAATGGCCCACCTAAATTTTTGTAATACTTGACATTCGAAAAAGAGAACATTATGAGGAGAATTTGGCGGGTGCTTATTTTCTAGGTACTCTCATTAAAGAAAAAGCCAGGAAGTCTTCACCTCTAGAATTGTTCCATTTAATCTAGATCCCTGATGAAGAGGATAAAAAAGATTAGGAAATGGCAATTAAAATGCTAATTTCTCTTGCAAAAATCTGACTTAAAATCTGAAGGCTTAATAGAAAAGAGAAAGTGCGAATGATTATTTTTAGAGAACAACCATTCCAATATACTTCAGCTTCTTTTTTTTAATGCAGTACACGGTACACTAACAAAAAATAAGCCATACCCTTCAATGCTATGTTAAGAATGAATGCATCATGTAACTTTAGTAACAATTGTCTCCCCAATAAGCTTTAATTAAAAAAAACAAAAACAAAAACAAGACCCAGAATGAATGAACAGTTTAAGGCTGCGCTATTTAACATGATAATCACTGGCCATATGTAACTCCTGAGCCCTTGAGCTTTTGAAATGTGGCTAGTGCTTCTAAAAAACTGAATTCTGAATTTCATTTAATTTTAATTGATTTAAAAATTGATGCATGATTCAATTATTAGAAAATTTTAAGCATGTTTGGAATAACGTATATGAACCTACTTTTTTAACTGTAAATTTTATGAAATCTAAATATGGATCAAATATTTCAGGTGAAAATTTGCATCCAGATAGAGATGTCCTATAAATGTAAAGTAAACATCATATTTTAAAGATTTGGGATAATGAGATGTAAAATATCTCCACGATAATTTTTATGATACATGTTGGTGAATATTTTTTATCTATTGGCTAAAGAAAAATATATTATTGAAATCAATTTCACTGTTTTGCTGTTGTTACTTTTTAAAATGTGGCTACCAGTACATTTAAAATTACTGTGTAGCTTGCATTATATTTCTTTTGGACCATGCTGGTTTAGAGTTTCTCGATGAAATCACTGGAATCCACTTGATGTACAAAAATTCGATCTGGCTCAGCAAGTAAATCTTATCAAAATCATAGCTCTCTTCCCCCCTCTTTCTGGCTCTACGGTCAGTGATGATGTTATAAATAATCTCTTTTATGTTTTCAGCAATCACTGAATCTGATAACTAATTCAATATGATTTACTTTTTTGTTTAACTCACAATTACAATCTTTTATTTGGTATTAGAGACAATAAATTTTCTTAGGAAATTTTAGCCAAATTGGTGAGCAATTTTGACAGAGGAGAAAGGATGACTTTATTTGAATCATGTGTTGGGTAATATGCAATGTGAAGCACTTAAAGTATTCAAACTGTATCTAGGAAAGTTTATGGTGTCTGCTTTCTGAAAAGATGTGCTCTTTTCATACTTCCTTTTATACTCATCTTAAACAAAATGGGCGGAAAGCATGGTCAGATGTGTAATGCTTTTTGTTTTGAGAGGTAATCTATAATAGGTGAGAAATGTGCCATTCGTCATGATTTTGTCTCATTGCTCATCTTTCAATTCTTCTAGGAGGTGATTTTCTCTCCTTCCTGAGAAAGAAGAAGGATGAAATAAAACTGAAACAATTAGTGAAATTTTCATTAGATGCTGCTTCTGGTATGTCGTATCTTGAGAGCAAAAATTGTATACACAGGTAAGAAGAACGTTTTAAAAAAACATTTTCCAGTTTTATGAGTAGAATGCTAGAAAATGATATATTTGCTACAGTACAGCAATGAATTTCTTTCACAAAACTTATATATTTTCTTTTTGGCTTTCATATTGTGTGTGAAAGCATTATTTGATAGTTGTTTACATAGTTTACACTTGTTTCCTGTCTTACCTGAGGTAAGGACACCTAATTAGGCAATGACTTACCTACTAATTAAAATTTGTTTTATTATAATCATGAATAGCATAGTGGTAAGATATGCCACAAGTTAATCTTATAAGCATCTCCAGCCTTATAGCCAAATAAGATTGTGTCACATGTTAACTGTACTCATTTTCCTAAGAAACTACTTATAAAGTCATGGAAAAGCATAATAGTAAACAATTCATGGCAGTGAATTTGACCAAGGGTTAAATTTAGCATACCAGTTATTTCAAAGGAAATTTTAGAAAACTTTCTCTAATTAAGACCAGTGACCTGGTCTCAATGCTTTATGGATTGTGGTTATAATTGCTTGTAGCTGGAAATGTTCTTTACTGCTAAATGTCAGTACAACTTAAAATCTCTTGCAAAATTCATGTCAGATTCTAAATATGGCTAAGACTATATAAGCAAAATGAAGTGGGCAACTGATGCAATTTTTATTCATTAGAAATAGTGCATAATACTATTGAAACATGGAGCAAGGTTTATTATCAGATTGAACTGTCTTGGACTTTATCTAAGCTCGTTTAGTTACTAAGGTATATTTTTCACTGATGTGTTTCATTGTGCAGCCTTTGACTTCATTTTGGTGATGTTATTATATATGTATAATTACAGCAAAACAAAGTTACTTTCACCTGATATACACACTTTTTTTATCTTAATAGATTTTTTTTTTTTTTTAGCTGAGCCATCCTGCCACCTGTTGGCAGCTCAGCGGCTGCTCAGCTCGGGCCGGGGCTCGAACCGCTGTTGCTCAGAGCTCACACTCTTGAGCGAGCTCTTAACCAACTGAGCCACTCGTCCAGCCCTTAATGGATTTTTTTAACTTAATTTCTCCCCTACATTTTGCTTAGTGTTTGGTTTTATTGTGAAACTAAAATTATGGTTTATATTCCAAATATAGTTAAATGATTGCATATACAGAGGGTGTCAAAAAAATGTATACACATTTTAAGGAAGGAAAAAAATATTAAAATTGTAATACTCAATATATACCAATAACAAAAGATGAATACAAGTCGCATTTGACTTCTGCAATTACAAGTGGTGCTCAAAGTGGTTACCATCAGCATATTTTAATAGTTTTTTTTCTTTCTTAAAATGTGTATACGTTTTTTGGGCACCCTTTGTATTTTAAAACATTTCAACAGAGATACTATTCTTCTGGAAATTAAGACACCTAAAACTAACCTCTGTCATTGTATTTCTGTTTTACTTCCTATGAATAGATGTCAATTCACATTATAATAGATATTTTGAAAGACTTTAAAAAGCATTTGATTTTGGACAAAAATTGCATTTTTTTATAATTTTATTAGATGAAAACACTTTTTGTTAAAAGTAACAAAGGGTTTTGCCCTGTATTGAGAGGAAATCTATAATTTTGATTGCTCAAGTTATTAAAGCTACTTTGGGTATCAGATCCTCTACTATAGTTATTCATTTTGTCTCAGATTTTTTTTTCAAATCGTCAGACTATCTATGGCTTTAAATCACAATAAATATACATTATTGACACTGTTTTACTAATTTGTCAGTTACCAGTAACATTCTTTCATTTCTGTGGCATTGTGGTTGAGGGAACTGTTGTTTCAATTTCTTGCTGCTTTTGTAGTGATTGCTTTTCTTGCAAATGGGTGGATGACTGTATATATTTTTAAGTGTATATATCATCAGAATTGAAATAGAAGTTAGCTTTTAAAAATTTATCCCACTCACCATATCATAACATTATTTGCTGTAATGTTATTTTTTCGTTTCGCTTTTTAAGAATTTTCACAAATTTTTTGAAAGTCAACTTATGCTTGACCACGTATCCTAGAAGGGTGTCCGTAGTCCTGTACCATATGCCTGCAGGGAAGGTACCTGATTGAATATCTTGAACAGTGTGGCTGAGAGCATGTTTGACTAACAGATTTCAATGTGAACTCTCAGTGACTGGTTGTGGCTCTGTGTTGTGTATTGAGCAGGATTCCAGGATCAGTAACAAAGATTCCAGGGATAGATTAGTCACGTCTGTCAGGGTGCTGATGAGCATTAACTCACAAGCCCCAATTTTGTCACCTGTGGCATTATTTTGTTGTTTCCATTAATACTTTGTTGACATGATTTTTCTTACTAGGGATATTATAGCAGCAATATAATTTTTTTCTATAATTACTTCCATTGATTTCTTCCAAACTATTTGCTATTCTTATTTCCCTTGTTAATCATGATTACTGAATGAACATTATGTTATCTCTAGCCAGTGGTCTTTCTTTCATTCCTCTTCAAACATATAACTGCTGTTTTGGATGAATTCATTTTTTTTTCTTTTCATTTTAGTACCTCACCAATACATATCATTGTATTGAGAAAATAACTCATTCTTTGGGTTTAATTTTTTATAGAAGTGAATTGTGCTATAAAACTTGTTCCTTATAGAACTATTTCTGTGGTAGCAGCAGTGATTGCAGTGGAGTTTTAATTGATTTGTAGTTAAAAGATACACTCAAAACATGTATTTTTTCTCCTAAGAAATATACAAAATATGTATATAGTATTCATTACAGTGCAAAGTATTTTTCCTCATTGGAAAAATTTCCAATGAGCTATTTCACAAATCAATTAAAGTAATCTAAAAAATGATTAAAAGTTTCATTTTTCAAGTATTGAAGAAATGCACCAAAACTCATTCTTACTGAAATACATGCATGCCTGAATTATAAATTCTGTTCCACAAATCAAAGCAAAAATTTTGTAAATGCTTTAAATTTTATATGAAGTTATAAATTTTATCCTGTTCACTGATTAGAGGTCACTGGAATTCAGTACTTGAAAATATTTCTAATTGTTTCTCCCAAAATAGTGTCTTAACTATTGGGGAACACGTTTTCTTTTTCTTTAGCTTTGTTTTATTGTTTTGATTACTATGAGAAGAACAGAGCAATGTTTCATTATAAGTAAACAAGTATGACAGCTATAAAATGGAAACAAGTAATTGCATAAAGAAATGGCTTGCTTTTGGAAAATGTCCTTGCAATTTCCATTTCACTTCTAGGAGAGTTCTCTTGATACTTATTCTAAGTTTCTAATTGAAACTGTTTCTGTTTATAACTGAGAAGTACTGGATATTTTGCACTTCTTACTAGGGATATTCAGGTTAGTTGTGTTCAACTGCATTTTCTCTATAATTATTTTATAAGCCAATATGAAATTTTCTTCCTACTTGTACTTTATATGAATATTTGAAGTACATTGATAATATTGGGGGGGTATATGTGTTTACTTACCATGACATGTTATTAGATTGTTAGATGTCACTCTAGAAAAGTGTTAAACTTGATTAATTTTCACATTAAGTGGATTGAAGATTGACATACTGTATTTAATGGTAATGGAACTTGTAGTTTTATTGCTGATGAATCCTACTGTGAGATTTATTTTTATTTGTGATTATTGCTAAAAGTTGTTTTTTTGCCATGGTGTCCATGGAAAGTAAAGGCAGAATAAAATCTTGATTACCATGTATTTGAGTTAAGAAACATAATCTATGGGGAGTTTTGAAAGTATTTCTTAATTTCATGATATTCTATGCCACTGTCAATACTAGAATACTTGTTTTTGAAGGAGTGACATAGAATATGATTTATTTTTCTAATTTTAAATCTGGCTCTGATTCCTCTTTGGTTTTGGTTGTTCTACCACAATGATTTTGTTGTTGTTGTTATGTGGTAAGATTAACAGCTCTATAAAGTACTTAAGACTACATTTGTTAGTAGGGTTTTTTTCTTATCCATTGAGAACAATGGTATTTCCAGTACTTCACAAATGTGAACAGTTGCCTACTGTTTGCCAGGGTGATATCAACATGAAAATCATGGCCCCTGACTTCAGATGGACATAACAAAAAACAATAATAATGAAAAGAGATAATCCATTTAGTGATAAAATGTACAAAATATTAAGGGAGTAATTAATATCCGGAGGATCTAATATGACTTGTCAGGATGGGGGCTAAGGTAGGAGTGATCAGGGAAGGTTTTGCAAGGAATATTTGAGTGAGACTTGATAGATGGGTATGTTCTTGAATAGAAGGGGAAAGAATATTCCAGCTGAAGGAAACTTGTTTGCAAAGTCACTGTTTTTCATTGAACTACAAAGAATTCAATATTATAAGCATGGGAAGTCCAGAAGTCAAGGGGCTGGCTAGGTAACCAAGGTCATTCTCAGCAAGAGCCACGTATACTATTTAATTCGGCTAAACTGTAGGAATGTCTAGTCATACATTTGTATAATTTTAAGAAAGTTAAAATGCTAGTTTGTAACTGGAAAAGTAATTTAAATAAAATTTACAAAGCCCTGAAAAATGTATAATTTATGAAAATGTGTAGGTATGGGAGCAATTTTATTTTTCAGTTCCATTGGAAAGACTCAATTAGGAAAGCTAAGATTGCCCAGAAAAGAATAATATCGCACTTCACTTAAGTGTGTTCTAGAAGGTGATTGTTTCATCCAATTATTTTTGGTGAGGCTTAGGCATGTGTACCTTTAAAGATAAATGTAAGATGCTGCTTCTATCTTGTAAGTGTTTCTTGTGATTTTATATTTTATGAAGCTAAAGATTTGGTATGATACTGATCATTTATATTTTTCCCAGTGATTCTTGAGGGTTTTTCTGTTTTTTTTTGTTTTTTTTTTAACTTTAACTGATTACCTAGCACCTGAGCATTTTCTAAGTTTTGAATGTACTGAATAAGCGTTCTTGTGCTTAGTGCATCTTTATATCATTAAAT